GTACGAAAATATGAACTAGCCATATGAGAATGTCGAAACATAAACTATGAATATCTCATTAATATACATTTTTATACAATGTGGATTCGCCCATAAATACATAATTATTTGCTTCTTACATCAATAATTTGCCGCATTATTGTCGCGTTGAATTAAATGTTACTGTTATATCCGAAAAACCGTTTTTGCTCGCAAATTATGAAGTTCAATCCACTCATAATTCATATCAAAAAGTATCTGATTAACTTGAAAAACCGGAAAATGATACCTAATTATACCAGTAGATCAGAAGCAAAGTAAAACTTTGCAAAATTGCATACTATTTTTTGGTTTTTTTTTTCTCAAGTTGTTGGCGCTTGTTGGCACGCAGTTCTGCTTATTAAAATTCTTCAGAAAAAAAGAATCACATCGCCAGTTTTGACATAAAATATGTCTATTTCGTGTTTACAGATGATATACTCGTCGAGATTGCAATCTTTATAAGTGATTCTTTTGCTGCGACCATCGTGATTTTCCTGGTTCTTTCGTTTCTTTTGAAAACCGCAACTGACACGATTTGTCATGTAGCTGGACATTATTTTTTGCCTTTTTAAATATAACGCAGCTCTCAACAATGTTCTTGGACATGTGTAAAACATGAGCTGCTGCTGTTTTTGTACAATTGAGTGTCCAATTGAAGGATAAAGTGATTTATTATCAGGGAATGGGCTCTTCCCAATGGAAAATGTTGCTAGTTTTTATAACAAGCTTACAAAGCATCGTATACACTTAAATTGGCACGATTGCATAAAATATAGTCTATTGAACGCGTTATAGTGCCTAAAATAATACCTAACTTTCAACTCAGGGAAATTACTACCAGTAAGATAAGAGCGCTTTTTTACATATTTAATTTGTTCCTTGACAGTAAAAATTCTCAACTATTGAGATTTGTAACCACGAAAGTAACCATAAGTTATGAATAATTTAAATCATTAATAAAATAGGCAAAATGTCCAGACTTACCGTTAACTATCTGTTTCCTTACAAGCGCTCCAATGTACGACTATTTTTCATCTTTTAGCAAAATAATAAATATGTTTCGCATCGTGTTTAGATATGTGAGAAAATCGGATTTATCGTTTTCTCCGTTCAAACTCATGTAGTCCTTGGCTTTTAATAAATAGGCATTTACCGTAAAACAGTTAACAATATTAAAAGACTATTAATTACTATAAGGTCAATACGCTGGTGAGTAACACTTATACAGTTTGTATTTTTTGCTGAAAATCGATGTTGATATGGAATTTCAGTGTTGTTTTTTAAACGCCTTTATGTAAACAGTTCAGTTGGTCCCAAACAAACAAAATCTTAAATGTCCTTCCTTCAACATGGATGTAAATAATGCGCATGAAGAGGATTGAAAAACGGAATCTGGTGCCAATTTCAGAATTCATTGACAGAGCCGTTATGCATATAAAAATCCTTAAATGCAGTTTATTTTTAAAGTTATATGGATGTAAATTTTTATTATATTTTTACAGTTGTTCCACAGGGTTTTTTGAAGTTACTTAATATGCAAGATTAACGTTTATACAACCGAATTTTAAAATCCCACATTCTGTTTTAAAATGAAAATGATTCACACTAGAAGAAAAATTGCATGTTTCGGTGCTTCGACAAAAATCAATTAAAATGAAAAGCAATGATGGAATTTCGAAAAGGCCACTTTAAACATTTTTTGTGTGCTCCTAGCAAAAGCGTGGGCTTTCTTGAGCAGAAAAGCTTTTTAATTCAATTTCAATTTTATTCTTCCAACTTCTACTGAAACAAGTTTGGTTACAGGACAGTTTTTCCTCAGATAATAAATAATCGCGGTATGTTCTTCACACTCTTAACATTTTATGAAAGCAATTTGTTTTACAGAGGAACAGAAATTCTGCAGAACGATATTTATAAGAATTGCATCTTAGACGTGAAACTATATATACAGATAGAGCTAGAAGGACTTAAAATAACTTGTATATTCAATGTGACGATGTTATAGCATTTGACATTTTCCCGAATATTTCCCTCGTAGAATAATCGGTCCGTTTGAAGTGTGCAATTATCGAAAAATTACAGCGGTAATTGCACAGTGTGCAATTATCACTCAACGATAATTAGATTGTTTATGAAAAATATTTGACAAGTGTCTTTTCATGTTGAATTAGACATCAAATGTCTTCCTGACATACCTAAGAAATTCAAATTATATTTAATAAACATAAGTAATAAAATTAAAAGTGCAATAAAATATAATAGAAATAAAATAAATCCACATTTACTTTGTTTATTCAGGAAATATTTATAAAAATTACACTCGTGCATCAAAATAAACAGATAATTTTGAAGCACTTGTGCAATTACCGCCGATAATAAAGCAATAAAAACCACTAGTTGATTTTGAAGAATCTGTATAAAACGCAGGAACAAGAAAATAAAAAAGTGTGAGAAACGAATGCGAATTATAAATAGGTGGTTAATTAAGTTCTTCGCGCTCTATTCTAGAAGTAATATCAACCCTTCAAACGCATTTAATTAATGTATTGTTTATTTTATAATCTGCAGTAATATTGAAATTAAAAAATTAAATTAAGTGATTTAGTGTGATAAATGTTTCAAATCGTCTAATTACTCTTATCTAGCTGTTTCCATGGGCCGTTTTTTTTGATCATTTTATTTCTGTTAAATTATCTTCCAAATCGCGGTACCCTTTGTATGCAATAAATGCGAATTAATGATATAATTAAGACGCAAGTGGAGGATTTCCAGCAATGTTCGAGGTTGAACCATTTTTTTACAGTTATTTAAAAATACTTATATGTCACCTCAGGACGCACAACAGCCTGGAATCATGATTAAGAATTATTTAATTGCCACTTGAAAAAAAATTTTATACACATTTTATGATAATGTAGGCAGTCAATGACGTAAGTGAAATGCACTTGTAGGATTGACCGGGCTAAGCCAACATTGCATGGGTTGGTTAAGTGATAACGGTTTTTTGTGAATTAAAAAATATGTTTTCAGGACGTGCTGGAAAGATGGCATCATTTAGTCATGGAGGAATACATTTTTGAAAAGTTTAATATTAATAAAACTAAAACTGCATTTATAAAAAAAAGCTTGGAGTTTTGTTAAATAACTGCGATATTCAGTCTGAGTCAGAGGTTCTTAATGGTACAAATTACCTGATAAATTGCTACTACGAAGCTGTACATTAGTGTACAAAAAAGGACGCTTAAATCAAAAGTTCTAACCGAAGGTAACCAAACTTGAAATACTTATGTTTTATATTCATATAAATATTTATCTAAACTAAAATCTCTTGCGCCTTCCATTTTCCAGTTTTATTGCAAATTAACCGTGAGAATTTTCTGCTTTTACCATTTTTTGGAAACCTCAAAATTTTCGATAAAATCTCATCTCAAACAATCTCAATCTCAACTATCAGAATTATTGTATCGTCAAGGGAACATCGGCTGAAACTGGTGAACTTTTTTAATATAATTTTCGTCAAGAACTAAAGTAAATATAAAAAACAACTTTCTAGCTTTGAAAAAACAAATAATTTTATTTTCTGTGTATTTCTGTAAGTTTCCATTTCTTACTTTATTGCAGAATCTTTTTACTACCTACTAATATATCTACTTGTTGACTACGAATATTTCATAGCATTTTGGAGTAAACCGATTGATCATTTATGCGAAACTTTTTTGAATACTTTAAGCGGCAATCGGAGTAACCGAAGCTTAAAAAATATATCAAATGCAAGTCAATTTTCCCTTGAAACTCTTAAGCTCTTTTAGGGTTTACTACTGACTTTTTTTTATAATATATTTTTTGAAACCATGTGTCTTGACCATGTGTGTTCAAAAAAATGAAAAATTGAGTTTTTTATAAGTAAATTTATAGTATTATTTGTATCTAAGTAACACAACTTGCAACATCGACTATACTTTTTTTATTTCAAACGTTACACTACGAATATTTTTACTATTGTTTTAGTGCTAGAAAAACTGTCCATAATATAAAATTTATTATATCTATTAATATTGCTAAACGACGCATGTGAATTGAAAAACCAGCCCTTTTTTTTCAATCCCAAGTCTCAATGAAAACATAAAACTATAAAAGGGCAAATTGAAATTTATTCTTCAGAAAACAAACAGTGTTTGTGTCAGTGAAAACATCCAACATTTTATTACATTTTACGAGGCGAATCGCTCGCAGTGTTTCCAATTGCAAACTTTTAAACAAAAGGTTTATTTGATAAAATTTCAATTGGAAATTCCATAATTTAAAAAAAATGCATAAAATTCTTTCACGACTGCACTTCTTATAATCATATAGTGCATCTCGTATATTAATCGAAAAATACGTTGTGGCATGGTCCATTCCACACGTTTTTTTCCCATTGATTTACTTGCTAATCGCCTGAAATAAATGTTATCAGTTTGTACAGCAGCACATTTATATAATATAAGACTATTTGAGGATATGTCTAAGTATAACTGTTATTAAAGTTAGACCAATTTAAATTTCAAATTTATTTGCAGACAGAATTGTTTATTGCGGTGCTTCGAAATGCGAATCTCGATGTGACCTGAAATATTTGCAAATGGGCATTTCAGTTGACTGTTTTATGGCTTAGTAGATTTAAACAGTTAAAAAGAATAAAGTAGTGCGTGGGTCCAAATCAACCCAATTTTCATTTAGGCTGTGCCACATTACCAACTGCTACCGAACATTAATATATACCATATTTTTATATAATATTTTACGTAGGTTTATGAAATAGTTTTTTATTATCAACTAATTTTCAAAATAGCCAAAATCATTTGCAATGTTTAGGATTCGGAATAGACGTCGATATTTTAAGCTGTCGGCAATGTAAAATTTTTTTTCGTTTCCGAAGGAAAAAATTATGACCCAGAAAAGTATGGCTATCTGAAAATAAATAAAAATAAAAAACGACATACTTTTTTATAATGTATACTTTATTTTCATTAAATATATAGATATATCTAAATTACATATTACATATCAAATAAATTCGACTTGACTTATACATTACAGGTACACAAACAAAATCGACTAAAAGTTAAGCGAACTCAGACAGATAGAAATGCAAAAACATTAAATACTACATCTGAGGGAAATACATAAAATGGCATTAGCTAAAATTACCCTGATAATTAATAAAACTATACATGGCGCTTACTACAATTCGTCTCTTATTTGGACAAGGAAGAGCAAATGCTTTCATAGCGTGTGTATTAGTATGTGTATTGAAACGAAATTATTATACTATAATTCGTAAGTACTATAGATATCAATATTAAACCTTTAAGTGATCAATTTTTAAACTATTTATGCATATCATACTATAGAAAAAATATAGCAAAAATATTTAGAATAATTAATTATCATTCTGATTGATCAAAATGGGACATTTATTCACGTACGTAACTTTTAAAGTGCCTGGGTGTTGCTCCCAGGGCTCTCCATCTATTTGAACGGGAGCTTTCTCCCTTAGACGAATCTAATGAAATTAATATTTAACTAAATCAATTTAGTTTAGTCAAATACAATTATTCCTACCTCTACAGTCCTAGCTTGTCCTAATCTGATGGGAGATGAAATACCAACTTGCAATTGGGCTATATGAAAAGAGGAATAAATCCCCACAACTTCCAAGATGCCATCGTTATGCGACTGGGTTGTTCTACTGGAACCATCCCCTAAACCTGGAAAAAATTTCAAAGGTCTCATAAAAGCTTTGGACTTTAGATCGAAAAACTCACCCCATAAATTGACACCAGCCCCCCAAGAGGAGATATTCAAAATGGCAATGGATTCCAGTTCCGGTAAAGGCACCTGATGACCATCCAAATACAAATCAAGCCGCTGCTCTAGATTTTTACAGTCTGCTGTAACCACTTGTTGAGTTCCAAAACACAAATACAAAAGCTGAAACACTTTGATTACGCTTCTCGAATTGCAAATATTTTCATAGCCTGAACCTTATTGAATAATCTACTACCATAAACATAAAATATACTATCTCTGGTATTATGGAAGCTTAATGCCACTTGAGCGTCCACGCCGACGCTCATATAATTGTACATGTAGAAAGTTTTGTTCGGAATTCTAATTCCTAAATGCCGCGTCGATATCACTTCTATTTGCCATCTAAAACATTATTTAGTAGCAAGTATTGCGTTAAAAATTGTATCAAAATAGGATTTACCTATCGAGTTGAGACAGAGTCGCATCTCGAATATTTAGTAATATTTTTTGCATATCTAGTTCAGGGGAATTTTCTTTGCCCCATCCCAAAACCCTTGAAAGATCATTGCCCGTTCCAAGCGGAATAATTGCTAACGGCGGTTCTGGCTAAATTATACAAAAATATAAATTTAATGATCAATGAAAAAAATCTGATTTAAACGCTTACATCCAAATCCAATTTATATGAAGAAGTTAATACCCATGATATTGTTCCATCACCACCAGCTACTAACACTCTTACAACCTGAAATAAGATGAGATAAGAGAAACAAGGAGAACTTAAACATTGTAATGAGCACATTTGCGTTCAGCAGTTTCTAGACTTTTTCAGATGTTTCTCACAATTAATTCCATACATGTTTACATTACTTAAGCTTGTTCATATCCGATGAATATTCTATTCCAATATTCAGGGTGACCGAAAAGTTTTAAGAAATTTTCTAAGCTCCAAAATGCCACGTTTGTCTCATAAAAAATGGTAGCTAATGCTTGGTTTTCGATGTATCCTTTGTCAAAGTTTATTATTCTAAGGTATTTGAACTTTGATTTTATTCACAGCCAGCTTTATTTTAAATAATCCGATTTTTTCTGGAAAATTTTCTTAAAACTGAAAATAATTTAAAAAATGAACAACTTGTATATATCGAAAGCTAAACGTTTGATCAGCAAATTTAATATCAATCAGTCCAAACATAAAATCCAAAGTATAAAACACTGCACCCTATTTTCTGGAACTGCACCGTATTTTCTGATTTTGTAACTTTGTGCGCTAAATTGAAAACGGACTAAAAGTAACTACCAAAAAGTAGATTTACTGACATCAAGCTAATCACCTTGGGAGCCAGAAGGACACACCATTGTAAAGCAGCTGGAGGTTTTCTATTAGTCAAATCTATAACTTGGGCAGGATTCAAATATTTCCTGAATTCAGACAAAACCAACGCTCCATCTGAGTTTCCGGATTTTTTATTAGCTGCATTTCAAAATAAAACACTCCATTTATTTACATGTAAGTTAAAGTTGTGTTGATTAAGTTTAGTTGCATTAAGTGTTTTTTCTCGTACCTACAACCACCAAAGGAGACCATTTTTCCCAACCAGGATCTCTTACACCTCTTAATAGCAAGTGCTTATTAAGAGCGCCCTTTCTTCGGGCTACTTGCACACAGGACGGCGGTACAATCATTGACCGAAACGGGCCAAAATCGCAAACCTAAGCAATACATAAAAAATACAAAAATGAATTATAAAAACACATACGTTACAAGCTTAATTCGTACATCATCCATTTGCTTGAGGCATTCAGTATGAACTGTGCGTTGGCACCAACAGCACTGAAAATCAATAAGACCTGGTTCCATTGAACAGTCTTCATTACATTGACAACACACTGCTCCCAAAGGAAGGTTGCCTGCAAAAAATGAGACAAAAATATTATCTAAAATGATTAGTAATCGTCAAATGATCTCGAGACCTACTTTTTCGCATTCTGCATTGTGTCAAGAAGAGGGTACTAATTAGTACTTGATTAGGCAAATTAGAATGTAATGTAATTTATAAGAACTAGACAATTTTTAGTTCCATAGTTCAGATTATTGGAACTGAAATTTAAGATAGCATTGAACATAATTTTATTAGCACAAGTTCAAATGCCATTCAGGATGGTCCCGTCCGGGATGTCTGAAATTTGCTCATTTTCAATCAAAATCGACAAAGCACAATGTTCTGATAAATTTTTTGGATTTTCGCTTTGCTAATATTCGCTAGTATTAAATTATCTAATACTTAAACCGGGTTAAACAATCGTACAATTGTTTCCTGACAAAATGGCGATTGACGCATCGAGTAAATAATTAGATAAACAACACACTGGTTTAATAGAAACAATTGGAAGATATTCTAAAAAACTAATTATTCAAGTCAATCAAAGTCTTGAAAGCTATATTAGTTTGCTCTGACAAAGACATAACTAACGCCTGTTTCAAAAAGTGTGTTATATTAAACTATTATGTAAACTGTATGTTTATGATTGCTGTGCTGTATTTAAAACAAGTTATCTGTTCTGGTTTTTCGTTTTACACTTACAGTTTTTTAAGACGGAACACATATTCTTTTAATAGAGAAATTTAAGTTGCGAATAGTCTAAACAATTAAATTATCTCAGGGTAACGGTTAGTCACAATACCTTAAAGTCAGAAAAACCTAGATCATTAATGGAGAAACACTATACAATAATAAGATTAAACCAACAAACGGCGAGGAGAAAAGCAATAATGCAATAAAATATAGTGGAAAACGTGAAAATTATTCATTATAGTCTTTATCATAATGAAAATCAAGTTATTTCGCCCAAAAAGGCTTTCTTTCAAAACTGCCGCATAATTATAGATCAGTGGAAACTGCATAAACTGCATGGCAAAATTGTGTTCATGTCGTAAACAAGAAATATTGTTTTACATTAATACGTGCCGTATTCCAATATTTTACCTTTTACCCAATGATGGGGCTGAACATCACTGTTACTTGTAACTAGTTTACAAGTAAGTGTTTGGTTGGCTTTTTTAATACATTCAGAATCAGCACATACCCCACAACAGTCACAATATACTCCAATACCATGAATTAAAAATGCTTCACATACTGAACAATACCAAGTCTGAAACAATTTAAGACATTATTGTATATTTAGATAAATCTAAACTCAGGAACTTCACACTGAATGAAAACAGTTTCTAGTGCAAAATATTTGGCAATATAATTAGAATTTTCAGTAGGGGTTCATGACAGAATTTGAACATCTAGGTTTAAACTGCTACATAGTTAAGTGGTTCAAATAAATGGACTGTGTAAACTTCTTTAAATGAAATTCTAAGTAAAGACAGGAAAGTACCCTGGCTGTAACTTTAATGGGGGTCCAACTGTGGTTCTTGCTGTAGTCTCTTACTGCCACTTTACCATCGCTACTCAATTTCCTAAACAAATAGTAGCTCACAATGCAGAGTACAACAGCCCCAGCAAATGTGGTAAATCCAAAAGGGGGAAACAAATCTCCAATTATCCACATATCTCTGTCAGGATTGGAGATTTCAGTTTTGCTGAAAACCGTCATCAATCGACTTTGAGAAACTCGAGCAACTTGAATACTATTTCCTTGGTTTGGTGACTTAACCATTTACTTCTAATTATTCATTAATTCATCATTAATAATTTTTGTTTTGAAAACATTTACATTCATGTAAATGCGTTGACATGCTGACATACTAATTGTATTGTTAAATTCATTTATTCGGCTTACTAGAAATAGTTCATGAGTTATTTCTGTTCTCTCGTATGCGTTAGTAAGAGATAAAACGTAATCTCTCTGTATGCTTTGGCGTCTGAAAACCTTCAAGCAAATGAATTTTACATGTCGAATTTGTAGCAGAGCCGGAGTAGCACATCTATTTTAAATGCTAATTTGGTATAGTGGTTAAGAAAAAATCTTGGTGATCTTGTTGTTTGAGTCCAAGGACTCGGACCGAAACGAAATAACTATTCGTTCCGGTTTCGGTGTTTTTTGGCTGGAATTTATGGACTATCCAGGATTTTTTTCGCTGAAACTTGCTTTCGCTATCTTTTGCATATAAAAAAGTCCTCAACACGAACCTGTGTGGATAATTTATTACTGAAAAATTCAATGGTGCCAATCACTAAAACTAGTGTTACCTTAAAACCTAGAAATGTTTAAAGGCAAAATTAAACTCACTCAGATTAAAAGTATTGAGTTTTTTTTAATTATCAAAATATTAAAAGGTGATTCTTACGTATAGAACAATTCAGCTGAATTTCACAGTTTATATATACATACATATCATATACATGTATTGCATTAACTACAGTTTGCACTTTAGTAAACCCAACAATGCCAACTATCCCTACCTGATTGAAAAGTAACTAAACGATCAAAACGATTTTTCTTGTAGCTTTTTATGGTCACGTTCAGTGGATCAAAATATGCAAAAAACTCTATTAACATAAAAATTAAACCGGTATTGCATATGAAAACTTTGAATTCCCTCACATTGTTCATTAAAGGGTAAGTAGATAGACAGTGTCAGCTCTACATTATTTCATATGGTACATTATTATTGCTCTTGAATAACCTTAATTCGATCAAAACAAATCAAACTAAATTATATATTTTCGGTAGATTTTTAGGTTGATGAAATGTCTCGACGACCGAAGCCTGGACTTAAAGTTATTGTACAGGAAACCCCAGTCGAAGTGTAAGTATTGTCAGAATGGCTGCTTATTTATGCAGTTTGTATTCACTTTTATCTTCCTTGATAAACTTACATCGCTCTCCTACCTGCCAAGGTTTGTTCATCTATTACAACTGATCTCAAGTACTTGGGGCGTTTATTAAATAGACACATAATGTATGTCCTTTTATGAGTAAGTTTAGTATTAGGATTAATTCAACCACATTTTACTATGAATCGCTAAGGTTTGCTATTGTTTAACAACAATGGTAACACAATAGAAGCACTTAGTTAAGTTTTCAGTCAAAGCGGAAATCATGCTAACGCATTAAGCAAAAGCACATTATACTTAGTAAAAGGCTCTCTGCCTTTTAATATTAAGTGTAACTGATACTTGAAGACTAAGTAATCATTGTTTTATTCAGAAAAGCGCCTGGGAATTTAGATTCTCGCACCACAATTACTATAGGAGACAAAACGTTCGATGTGGAGGCCGATGATTTGGAGAAAATATCCGACTTGGGTAGAGGTGCATATGGAGTAGTTGAGAAAATGCGACATATCCCTAGTGGTACCATTATGGCTGTTAAGGTAACGAAACCTTAATTTCCCACATTTTAACTAACAGTGTTTTAGTAGATATGCTAGTCAAAAGATAGACAGATAGATAACAATGTATTAAACATTCACATTGTATAAGTCCAAACCAAGTTACAACATATACAGGGTGTCCAAGATAATGATGTACGGGGATCTACGAAACCATAAGAAATGCGAAGTCCGTTAAACCAGGAAAAAGTTGCGCCAAATCAGGGGGTCATATATATGGCGGTTTTAAAATACAAGTATTTCTTTTAAATTTGGAGATATTTGGAAAAAAGTGATTTTTCTGATTTTTGTTTTAATTTATATTAAAAGTTATTTGAAATCAGATCAAAATGCAAAAAATACTTTCCAAAGGCACCTTTTTGAGCTCTAGAAGATGGTGTAATTGAAAATGAAAATGAAGATTCCAACGTTTCGTTTCTTAGAAACCATCATTAACTTTTGTTTTCCATGTGGACCGAAAAAATTTATATAACGCAATAAATAGCTCTTAATAGCGAATTCGAAAACGATGTATAACATAGTAAGATTTGTACCGCTTCCTGCCTCAAAAACATTTTGTCTATAAATTATGCGTGTTTTAAGTCTTAGTAGGTCAAATTTTATGCGTCTAGCTTAGAACTTAAGAAGTACGCGGTATTTATAAAACTTACTAACCAAACTAAAACCAGAATAAAATCTTTCAATGAAGATATTTGATATTTGTTGGTGTACATATTTTCGTCTTGCTGCACTATTGTTGTGAGATAAGATGAAATATGAAAGCATAAAATTTTCTTTTGTTTGTAAAATTGTTTCCCGGCATAACGAAAAACTCTCGAGAAATTCTGATACTGATGTAGAATAGTGTTTAGTAATGAAAATGGGTATAATTTATAAAAAAAAAACGGGTTTTTTGACCGAAGAACCCCACCAAATCATACTGGTCTAGAAATGAGCGCGCTAGCTCAACTTGTTCTACAGATACGAGCAAAAAAGTGCCCTCATGCTTGGAATTCTAGTAACCTTTACTTTTATACGTAATTTCTCGATCATGCCAATTACGCGTTCTTATCCAAAACATTTTTCTGGTTTCACTGATTATGATTATTAATTTACGAAAGAAAACATCCGAATGATTGACTGTTAAAGAAGTCACTAAGGCCCACAAGTCTACACTTTAATTTGCTGATTTATTGATTGCAAATCTATTTTACATTGATCTGCCCGTATTAGAAGAGAATCATTTCAAAAAATGTATCTTGTTTTGGTGTTTACAATTATTCGTGTGTGCTTAGCGTATAACAGCTACCGTGAACACCCAAGAACAAAAAAGGCTGCTAATGGATCTGGATATATCCATGAGAAGTAGCGACTGTCCATATACAGTTCAATTCTACGGCGCTCTGTTTAGAGAGGGCGATGTGTGGATCTGTATGGAAGTGATGGACACAAGTTTAGACAATTTCTACTTGAAAGTCTATAAAAATGGACAAAAAATTCCTGAATACGTGTTAGGTATGATGTTTTAGAAAATATTTAGATCTGAATAGCAGTTGAATAAGTCATTTTTCTCACAGGTAAGGTAGCTCTTGCCGTTGTTAGTGCACTTCACTATCTTTACTCTGAGCTGCACGTAATTCATCGAGATGTCAAGCCATCCAATATTCTAATAAACCGAGATGGCGAAGTAAAAATGTGCGATTTTGGTATCAGTGGCTATTTAGTGGACTCAATTGCCAAAACTGTGGATGCCGGCTGTAAACCGTATATGGCGGTAAGTGCTTTATTTTAGTTTTGCTTATCTAGAGACATAATTTAATTCATTGAACCTTCAGCCAGAAAGAATAGATCCACAAGGTAATCCATCACAGTACGACATTAGATCGGATGTGTGGTCTCTTGGGATCTCTTTAATCGAACTAGCCACTGGCAAGTTTCCCTACCCAAAGTGGGGCACACCTTTTGAACAGCTCAAACAAGTTGTGGCTGGCGAACCGCCAAGGTTGCCATCCGACGGACAATTTTCGACAGAGTTTGAAGACTTTATATCTAAATGTTTACAAAAGAAGTATATTGACAGGTGAGTCTTTGTGAATTGAAGGAGAAAATTATCTGGGGTGTTTTCTTATTAACTACAAAGATTGAAAGAGTCCAAAGTTGCATCATTTCTCTGAACGGGTTTGAAAAAATGAGGCTTATTGCGAGAAGTTCACTTTATACATTTTTGTTACAAAATATGGAAGCGAGAATCATGCAGTCAGATCTTTAGTAGACTCAAATGTGTTTGTAGGTCCATACTTTTTAATTTATAAGATAAGGTCCGTATCAAATTACGTGTAAATATGGGTAAAAAAGGTAAATAAATCAATCGTAATACTCAATTAGAAAAAATACTTCTATTGAAATCAGAAAACGTATTTTTATTCTCATTCTTTTTAAAAAATATAATTTCTTGATAGTTGACGTATACATACATGTGAAAACAGATATTTGCATTTTACTTAATGTTCGTAAAGAAACCGGCCTTTGCAGCTTCGAATGTTTTAACTAAAGATTTAGTTTATAGTGTTTTGCCTAATTTTTTGCCAAATTTTTACTCACTTGTCTTCAGCACCTTCAGTACGATTCAAGTTTTAATGTAGATTCTCGATGTATAGATCCAAAAATATCTAAATAATGCTATTTTCAAAGTAATTTTGTTATATTCACCCCCTGGTATGATAATGCCGTTGATTGATATTACTTTTAATTGCGTATTTTAGATGGAACTATAGTCAATTGCTTGAACATGAATTCCTAAACAAACATCGTGACCTGAACACTGATATTTCAAGCTTCATTGGAGAGATATTAGACTTGCCGAATTCAAACCCCTGAGACTCATGCACGGTATCTTAGCGCTTAATTTTCTGGCAATACTACTAAGCGTTCTGAATACCTTTTTCAGAATGAGTTAAACGTTAAAAATCGTCAAGTGCTATTTGATGAAAATTTTCAAAGTTTTAAGTTTAAGATCAAAGTACTGCAAAATATTCTACTGACTAAAAAACTGCTTTTTGAGATTAGGACCTGGAAATGTTTTTATCAAAGTATATTTTTAGAAGGTGATTGTCACATGAAATCCCTAATGGTTATTAATTAATATAATAACCGGATTTCAGGCGACATGCCCCATTTTCCCATTAAACTCATCCATATTTTTTAGTACTTGTAAAAAGCAGATATTTTCATAAAACTGTATTAATCCTAGTCGATTATCATGTGCGAACTAGTCTAGTGCTATAGAAAAAAATGTTCCTTTAGAATCGCTTAATTTTTAAATTTATTTTAAATTTGGTCACAAACACGATAACAAGTGTGGTATGCGTCTTTATACAAACTCCTAGCTTGTCAAATAGTATGAATTTCGGATGCATCCAACATCCAATTGTAATGCCTTTTACTACTAAATGCAACAGTTCTTATAAAAAAAACCGCTTGAATACTCAAAACGGAAATTATACTGTATTGAAAGCTGGCTCAGGTGGGGACCGTAACATTTATTATATTTCTAAATGTAGAATGCTATGTTGCTGTAAATTGTAGGTATGGAATAAGAAGATGTTATGGGAAGTTTTTATAWAGAACGCATTTACCATAAATAAAAATACAATTTTATGGTCAACCTGTACCTTCTCAGATCTTCTACATCACATTAGCATTATACATTATTAATTTAACTTAATTCCTTAATTGAACCTTTACTTTTGTCCTGATTTTATTAGAAGTTGCCCACGAATAAACATCTATTCTACTAGATTATTATGGCAACCAAATGTATTAATCTATGGTTGTTCTATGCTCTTGATGTTATCCACTTTGAATTATTTAATTTTTTTTTTATTTTCGATAAAACATTTTTAGTTGTTTTGCGAGAGGTCAGCATTACTTTTGATAACCGAATTGTGTTTTCCTACTTAAAATAGTAGTAATTTTATCGCTCATGAGATGGATTCTGTCCATTTTGGTTTTAAAACTTTGTAAGCATTTTAAATAGAAATTGTTGAACAATTTTCAGTTATTTATCAAGTTAAGGAGTAAATATTTGAATTTTAAGAAGTATTAGTTTAGGTTTAGAGATGTAACTTGATTTTTAAGTGTTAATGCAGATGTGTGATAAATTAAATAATAATAGTTATGAAGTTTTTTTTACCTTCGCAGCTCCAATGGTCGCATATAAAGTAGGAAAATTAAGAGACTAATTAAATAATATAAATAAATAATAAAATAGGATTTATGAATTTCAACTTTTTTTGGAATTAATATGTATCAAGGATGGAGTAAAGGCGACTACATTTTCTTATAGTAGCTTTAAGAAAATCTAAAGAACGCATTGGCTATCACTTTTTTGGTATTTTTTAAATATGGTTCTCTATCTTTGTTAACAAGATGTAAACAAATTTTTTATTCTGAATTTCAAAAATTATAAAGTATTGAAGTACAAGGTGATTCACAATCTTATGGACACAAAGCAGGGACATATAGAGGACCTCAAAACAAGTTTAGTTTACATTTAAGTTTTTTTTTCTCAGGCCCATGGTCAAAGAGATACAGAGTGTTAAAGTTTCAAAAAAAATTGGTATTTTCTCTTTAACTCCTACAGTTTATGAGATATTTTTCTCAAATTTTTAATGTGGGCTAATGTTTAGACCCTTTACCCGTAGGTAAGGCAACTGGTTGTGAAAATCTACAGAGTGTTCTTTTTTCTAGAGGCATACCCCCTTTTACCCCCCGAACTTTTTTGTGGTGCTCCACTGACTTCAACCGCTCAATTTTTTGAACTTTTTTGTGGTGTGCCACTGACTTCCACCGCGCGATTTTTTGAATTTGTTGTTCAATTTAAAAGTTTTTTCATTTTCGAGTTATTTGCACAAATATAAGTCCATGTTCTTGGACAATCCTGGGTGATTTTCAATGAATTTTTTAATAATTTATTTGCGACCTTTTGTTCACATTTTTTTTTGAACGAAATTAATTCAGTAATAAATTGAAATATTCGTTACATTTTTGTGTATTTTTATTTGGATTAGCTTACAACCGATAAACCTCAATTATTGTAAATTATATTAAAGTAAAAAAAATTATATTTAAAGTTAGGTCGTCAGCCATCCCTATTTTAACTTCAACTTGCATTTAAGGCATTCATAAAAAAATGTGAACAAAAGGACACAAAAAAATCATAGAAAATCATCCAGAAACCCTACATAGATTTGTGTTTGTGCAAATTAATGGAAAACAAAGGCAGATACGAAAAAACTGCAAGAGATAAATAAATTCTTAAACGGAACAACAAATTCAAAAATTTGTTCGGTTAAGTCAGTGGCACACCACCAAAAAGTTCGGGGGGCAAAAGGGGGTATGTCTCTAAAAAAAAGAACATCCTTTAGATTTTCACAATCAGTAGGCTTACCTACGGGTAAAGGGTATAAACATTAGCCTACGTTAAAAATTTGAGCAAAATATTTCATAAACTGTAGGAGTTAAAGAAAAATTACCATTTTTTTTAAACTTTAATACCCTGTATCTCGTTAACCGTGGGCCTGAGAAAAAAACTTAAATGGAAACTCGATTTGTTTCGAAGTCCTCTACACGTCTCTGCTCTGTGTCCATAAGGTTGAGAATCACCCTGTATATTTTTTTTACTAGTTTTTTTCAATTAGTGTCATGAAAAGTGTGAAACCAAACCTGCATTTTGCATAGCTCTTACAAACTTATATTGAGATGCATTTCATGCTTTCTTTAAAAAAATTGCAACTGCTGATTTACAGTGGCAAAAGTCGCTCAAGTTTAATTATTAGTCCAAAAAAGTTAATTGAAATTAATAGAAAATTATTTAAAGCACAATATGAGAAGAATTTACTTAATTTTTAATAATTATTATGATATTCTTATCTGTCCTGAGCTTCAGTCAAAGTGTGCAGTAAAAATTTTGAAACATCGTTTATTTCATTACGTTTCGGCGAGACAACAACGCCATAATCAAATTCAAAATTTACACAAACTCATGATTGGTAAAAATCAACGTCCTTTTAGGTCTTTGCCTTCTTGAAAACCTTGAGTTTGTCTGAATTATTGTCTACATTGCAAATGTACAATCATATATAGTACATAACATATATCATAACAAGTACACGCAGTCAGGAAAATAAATCAGAATTAATTTTTAATTGCTTAATTATCACTTTATGGGGGATTTTGGATTTCTAACTAACTCCAAAAGAACATTACATTGTAAAGTTTAAGTTTGAACGTTTACTCAAAAAAATTAAAGTTTGAAGATTACAATTTTTGAAAAATGAAATTCACGTGATCTTTCCAGTAACAAACTTCTGTTAATGCACATTTTAGTAATTTTTTCTTTAATTTATATTTGTTTTTGAATTGATGACGACTGTTTCAGCCCTCCTATATAGATCATCAGTCTTTGCAGGAACGTGTACGACACTCAACTAGCTCCTAACTTCACATATATTATTGCAGTTTGACAAAGTTGGGTTAGAAACCAATCTCACTTACAACAACAAAGTAGATTTTTTTCAGTTCTAGGTGAAAACATTATAAAACCGTGGGTTGTTAGGCAATGGGTAAAACAACTCAATGTCGAATAAAAGCTCGTTTAGAAAACGTGGAAGCAATCAAGACCAACCACCCGGATCATTCATTTTCTTTAAAACTAAAGTGTACAGGATGTGGGGAAATATCCGATAAATGGCACGATGTGATCGAATCTGAGAAGTTTCCAGGCAAGACAGGCCGATCGAAGAATAATTATATCGCGAAATGTAAAATGTGTGGCCGAGAGAACAGTCTGGATATTGTCCCTGGTAGTAACGGTAGGTGTTTGCGCTGACAACTTATGAAAACTAAAGAATTACCTTTCAAGAACAAATTTCCAGCCTCATACACTAGCGAGGATTCAGAAAAGTTTAAAGCGATTGTCTCATTTGAGTGTCGAGGAATTGAGCCAGTGGATTACCGACCATTGGTGGGATGGATTGCTAAAGTAGAAGGAAGCAGCAAAGTGTTTCCTGATGTTGACCTAAGTGAAAAAGAATGGGTTGAATACGATGAAAACATCCAGGACTCTGTGGGGGTGTACGATTTAGAATATGAATTGCGTTGAATTGGGGATTGATATGAATATACGAAATTTTTCATCTGGTGCTTTTCATTCAGAATTATCACTTGATAGAATATAGAATCATTAAAACAGAGCATAGGTGTCAGCTGATGTTCCAGAACCTTCTAGAGGTCAAGTGCTTTAGAATGTCATCGTTAACGTTGGTTTGAACTCTTTGCTGTTAAATATTTTAAATACCAGACACTTCCTTTCCTATGCCTATCGAGTCTAAGCTAAAAATAACTCTGCCAGCATTGCAAAAATGGATTGGAATGCAGTTAAATGTCCCCTGCTGACATCAGGCCGTGACGTCACGAGAGATTCCCGCTCGTTCAGATACTTCCGAGTCAAACGTCAGGTGATTACGTCGCTAGCTTCAGTTGTGTTTTGAATGTCAGCTGTGGAAACAGATGATTAGTGCTTGAAATATAGTTTGGCAAAACTCGTGATTTTAGTGAAAAATTAACTGAAACAACGTGTGAAACTCAAAGAAAACGAACAACAAGCCTCCAAGGGCAAGTTTGGCACAAAAGTCATCAAAATCTATGCCCAATTTGATGGAATAATCGACCCTCAATATTTGTTGTGATTGACCACATCCATCCTACTGGTGGCAGGCAACCCAACGTACATCCGGCTTTCTGGCTTTAAAAGGGGCTTTTAACAAGGGAAAAACACTCTTTGAGGGATTTTTTACTGAGTCCAAAGTACAAGAAATCATTGCAGAGCTCATAAGGGCTAGTTTTCACCTACCAGTGCTCTAAAACCCTTTGCAACGTATCCTGTGTGAAGTTGGCTGCGCACAGGCAGAACAGCTTTGCCCGCCTAAAATTTAACCATTTTCCTTCACTTGGCGGGATAAAAAGAGGGTGCTGGGGTATTTTTAGTAGCTTGTGCAGAAGCTCCACGTAGCTAGATTTGCTCCTCACTATCCAAGTTGCTCCATTGGCTTTGAAGAGTCATTTAAAGTTCTTTAAACGCCGTAATTCAAGTGCTTTGATCTGTATAATCACGATAAGTTCCAGCTAATCGAAAGCAGTGTGGTGGTCCGTCTTGAAAAGGCATTGAAGAAAGCTGTGCTGGGTAAGTGATCTCCAATTGATTTTTTCATAATGTTGGAACCTTCGATTCGTGATTAAAAGGGTGAATTGTCTGAAGGAAACGGTACTTTTGGGGATATACGTGGTAGACGTTTGGGGTTATGTGTACAATGAGGTGTGGTATGCTTGCACATTTGTGCCCCCAGCGGGCCCCAGTGCAAACCTTTTCCATTTTTTTCTCACTCAATATTTGCTCTAAAGTGCAATAAACCATCGTAAAGGCCAATAGAGCTTCCATCTCTCGTTTTAATGCCCATTTTACCACATGAAAAACCATCGAAGAAATGGGGCCCCATGCAGTGTTTTACCAAAACACCTCCCCAAAAGCCCTTCGCCTTATATCATACAAAGTTGATCATTTTATGCTCATAATAGCTTTAGCAACTGCTTATCTCCGATGTTTAAACTTTAAATGTCAAATTTAAAGGGACACAGTTAAACATTGACCTCTACCTGATTCATAAATACAGGACCTTTAAATCCATTTAAAACGTGTATTCAGTAAGTTTATTGTTTATTTAATATCGTCTAGGCTCATGGGAGGTAGATTTTTAAAATTTAAATGCCAAAATGAGGTCATGATTTTTTACTTAGGTAAGCATAACTATTTTAGGATTGGCTGGTGGGTTTGTGACAAAATTAAATTTGAGAGTCATGTCTTTGTTTGGGTGAAACTTCTGATAATTTGAGGAGTTCCACAGGTTGTTTTTTCGTTCAATCGGGATGTTGTTAATAAGAAAACCAAATAGGGAAAAATGCAGCTTTGTGCATCATCCCTTACTTTAATTGAACGTTGTATCTGAATTCAATCTCATTTGTATAAAAGCGATTGGTTTATATTTGGTCTTATCGACTGTTAAAACAATCACAACGTAATTACAGAACGACAGAGTTATAGGGAGTTGTGTTCAATTATATCTAAGATATCTTCTATCCTCTACTCTGTTTATTAACGGTAAACGTATTTGCAAGTTAAATTTTTGTCATTTCATCTCAAGATATAATAGGGGCTTAGGATTATGTGGTTGGCTGCTTGTTTTCAACAATGGAACAAAGGAATGATTAAACATAATTGGATTTTACCAGAAACAATTTTCGGCTTGAATATAAACAGGATAGGTATATTTCCTTAAAGTTCAAACCATTCTACTAATTGCTTTTTTTTATTTACCTTACAATTTTCCTAATTGACGGATTCCTGACTACCTATAAACTAATAATATATTTTTTTAATACTCAATTGAATTTGTTTCATTTTATGCCAAGGCAGCCCCCAGCCTTCATAGCCTTTATTATATTTATTATATTATTTCTAATTTATTACACGCCTTGATTCCTCGTTTGTTTTTTGCTTCTTTTATGTTGTTTGCAAGATTTTACTTTAAAAGTCCTGATTGACTTACTTGCTACCAAGGACCAAACCAACTATTCATATAAATGCACTCTTGTTTTTCTATTTCAGAAAAAGCGTTTATACATACGTTTGAATATGTGAACTCAATCTTCGAAGTTACATTATCATGTGATACAGATCTTGCCATTCAGTGCTTCACTGATGGTGTATTTTATAGTTAAACCAAAGTCAGTGAACTTAATTTCCTTTTTATACATAAAGTGAGCTAAAGCTCTCTTGCATTTAAAGATTGTATGATACTTTTTCAGTTTCCAGTTGGGGTTTCTCTATCGTTACATAGTTCTTATATGAAAATATTATAATTTTTTGAAATATGTATTGTAGTTTTTAGCTGAAATGTATTTTCACTATCAAAATACGTTTTGCTCGCTGAATTAATTTTAAGTTGATTGAGATTGTCTCCTTCTCATCTCGTTTTATTTGAAACCTTGCAGTTTTCATCCACTGAAATTTAATTTTCGTAATTTTAAATCAATAATTTTTCTATCTAGAATACAAATCAACTTTTTATGCCTTATCGCCAAAAGAGGCTTATTAGCAATTTTACTAAGAAAAAAAGGGTACATGAAACAGTGTTTACTCTGCTGTCTCAGTTACTGTGATAACTTAGAAATACGTGTTTGTGCAATTAATTACAATTGTATTTGTTAATTTCTATAGAACTTACTGTTTTTTCCCTATTCTTCAATTCATTAGGAACAAAGTCTCTTGGATATTCTAGATAGGGCAGTAGAACTATCGAACAATTTTGTACACAAGTTTTTGTCGGGTTGTTTGAAGAAATTGGAAAATATTTTAGATCATCTTCAGCATCAAATGAGCATTTTGTGTATACTTAATCTGATTAATCAAGTTGCATTATGAAGCAAGATAAAATGCTCTGCATTGTAATGTTTGTGGAGATTATTAGTTACAATTTCTTAAGAACTTACTTCGTTTTTTTTGTCTCTATTTCTTGGAAATGTGCAATTTTTATCTTATTCAATTAAAATATAAATTATTTTATTTTTTGCTGTCTGGTGGACTTTGATACTCGCTTGTTGATCCAAATGATGTTAATTATTTATTAACAAAATTTTGTTTATTACTTTCGCTTGTCTACTACTGCATTTTGTAGTAAATTATTCATTGGACTCAAAAAAGACAAGCCGAAGATTAAACCACTAAATTTTATAGATAAGAATTATAAGACTCTAATGCAATTTTTTAAAATAGTCGGACGATTTAATCGGTTTCTTGTGAAAAGGTGCAATAAACCCTCATTTTAAGTCATCTTAGGTTACCAGCAATATCACTCTGTTAGATCTTATGCAGGGAACGAAGAAACATCTCTCAAGTCATCTAACAAGGTTTGCTCGGGAAAACCACATTCCAAGTACTTCCCAATAAGGTTTATTAGAATTACAAGACATAACGGAAAAAGTCGTACCTATGCCTTTTATTTCTGGTTGCTATTCTCAAGTACACTGAAGTTGTTTTGCCATCTCGACACTTAAGAGCACATGAACTTGAAATAATAAATTTATTATCCAGTCGAGTAAATTTTAAACGCTTTTAAAATGTAAACATTCTAAGCCATTTTCAGAGTATAAACTAATTCTGTGAATGCATTTGGAAAGTCACTATATGAGTATTTTAATCTATTTGTTGGTCAAAAAAAATCTTCATAAAGCAATTATCGAAACTTAAAAACTTTCGATACCTTAGACAACTTTCGTTTCCACTAAACAACCACTCAATAGATTCCAATGCTAAATAGTTTAACTGCATTACCGTTTAGTTTAATGTTTTGTTGCTCTACTTATAATGTTTTCTTGTTTATGTTAATACAATACAAAATATTACTGGCATGTTTCCTATAAGTAAACTGGGTTACAATTTTATAGCACAGACCATGGTAATTAAACGCTTATGTGCTTCCAGTGGTTGAAAATGCGTTATTATATCTCATATGGGTACAGTTAACATTTCCCGTTATACCTAAAGTGAACTATAAAGTTTAAAAGGTTTTTTTTGATATTTAAATAATACGCACATGTGTATTATTTAAATTAATTGTTATGTTTTTGTATCTTTTCTTTACAGATCACTATACTAACTTCTAAAACCGTAACTAAGTGCTAGCATCGACTTTACCATGAGTTGCGAATCAGATCTTCAAACAACTGAACAAGTTCCTGAACTAGAATTGTCGACAAATGTTAGTGACGTTGAAAACGATGAGCTGTTGAACAGATTAGAGGAAGAAAATTATAGTGAAAGCACTAAATTATCTTTTCGAGAATTATTAAGAATACATACAAAGCAGACAGTGTGGGGCTTTAAATATGGACAAAATATTAGAGAAAATGCTTTAGCCAGGGATAAGAATTTGCAGGAAAGCAGCGAGAAGAAACGCGATAGTGATTTGGAAAGTAACACAGGTAAATTAACTGAATCACTCAGCTAATTAAGTGTGTATTTATTGTACATTAACTTAGTGTTAACTTAACTCAAAAAGAACCTTTAATATGTTTCTTGTTTGTTTCGGATGTACCTTTAATTATTAAAAGGCACGTTATTGAATATATGTGGCTTAAACGCTCTGTTGAATATTCTTGCCCACCAGACTGTATACAGATAACAAAATTAATATTTAATCATTACACAGCTCTATCATTTCAATAAGTCACGTACCTAACATTATTTAAAACTGTAATAATTTTCAGTTACTGAACAACATGAAAATTTTGACTCGGAGCCAGGTCCATCCACCTCAAAGGTGTGTACTACTGAAAATGACCATAAAACACCACACTCAAGGAAGGAAGAGCGAATCTCCAGAAGCAGAACCAGCAAAAGGAAGAACAGTACGAAACAAGATTTTGAATCGCCCACGAAGACTCGTCGCGTTCCTTTACCTTTAATGAATTGGGCGGATAGCAAAGAAGTGTGGATGTATATGGTAAGCGACTAGTGTTTTATATAAATGTTGCTTGACCTTTCTCAACGAACGAAGATTTGGGTGCTGGATAGACAATTTTGAATTGTTTTAATCAATTTAACAAGAGCGACGAAAGTAATTAATGAATATTAATGATCTGATTAATTCATCTAATACTTGTGGTACGCTTGCTGTTCACTAAAATAATAGCATTTGTTACCAAAACCATTTTTGTTTCGATTCTGATAAGTAAATGCTAGACAAATTTTTGTTTCAAATTAGCATGTGGAGCGTAATTGTTCGGTTCAATGCTTCCAAATCTTCAATATATTATTACCACTCTGGGTGGAAAAGATTTCAACTGTTCAGATAATTCTTAATCGGAAGCAATTTTTACATAACATGGCAAATCATTGGATATGTGAATGAAATTGTTTCTCATTGAGTGCAAAGTGTACATGCACAAATACTGGAAATTTAATTTTTAAATGTCCGCTTTATCGTTTTTACGATAAGTGAGTAAATATAACAGTTACGTAAGCTTGCAGTTTGAATAACTGGGTCAATATTTGGGAAGATCGAGCTATTGCTCAGTATTTGTTTAAGCTTAACTAAGTATTTATGCAATTTACAGTTAATTTGTAAAAAAATTATTCATAATTGCATATTGGAAGAAAAGTCAGTTTGAAGTACTGTCTGTTTGATTCAAACTTATCTAGTCTCTGGACATGTTTTTGTATGCAAATGAAATATTTCAATTTAATTTATATAAATATATTGTTTTATAAATATCTTTGCACTAATAAAATAAAAATAAAAGAACGTCTAAAAATATGTTTCACAAGAACAACTACATATTTTTATGCAGGAAAGGCTATCGACTATTAATATGTTTCATTAAAATCTATTTATGGTTTCAATTTTTACATTGTTTATACCGAATTAATGTTAAACATCTTATCAGCATGTGTTGATCATCACAGAAGCATCACAGGTATTGAAAGTGTTTTTCTTAATTTATCTTATCTTGGCTGCAGTAATTTAATAGAATCACTGCTCTAGCTGAAGTTTTTATGTTTATAAGTAACTAATTAGGTATCTATTGATTATTCAAAAACTGTTTTGAAAGCCCCATAAAAGTTTCCTTTTTGGGTAAAATAGAAGGATAGATAGGGCATAACATTTGCAAAAAAATGCAAAATGCCATTGCCATTAATGGTTTTGTTGCTTAACTTTGGTAATTTTTTAAAATAATTTTTATCAAAGAAAATGTGTAATACCATACATATAGACCAGTTAGGATTTAGATTACGAAAGTCCTCGAACGATTAACAGCATTTAAAAGCTCACTGAATGATACTTTTTGCGGTTATTAGGTATAACTCCCATTTAATGTGCAACATGTAACTTAAATTTTATATATTTTGTTTCATGCCGCTCTTAGTCATGGGGTAAGTATTGCATTGGAAACAGGCGTTTTTATATTTTCAATTTTACGTTTTAATTAAATTACAAATTCACGGAACTGTATATGCCTAGTTTTAATTATACAAAATGCGAATAAATAATTATAGAACATTTTTTAAATCTTTTTAACATGGTTTAAGTTTAGCATTTTAATTGATTACAGGTTTATAAAGAAGAAGCTTCGCAAAATCTAAGAAATCCCCGTTTGTTCGAAGACTTCACTGGATTTATGCCTAGAATGCGTGCTATTTTACTTGATTGGGTGATGGAAGTCTGTGAAGTCTATCATCT